AGACGGCCTACTAGCTACAGTCACGTAGCTGGTGATGGGCAGGGCTGGAATCTAAGCCCAGGTCTGTGGGCCCCATCGCTCATCTTCTCAACCATTAGGTTTCACTACCTCTCACAAAACCCAGCCCTCTACTTTCTAGATGGGGCTTCTCAATCCCTCAGTCTGAAGGCCCACGCTTCAGAAATACCTGGGCGACTTTAAAAAACTCTGATGTTCTGGACCCCTCCCAGGAATTCTGATTTAATTGATCTAGGGTTGAGGGACCAGATCTCAATTTGTTTTAAACCATTCCAGGCAAATCTTCCCTCTGTGGGAAATGCTATAACCAAGGCACAGGCAGAGGGCTGCTCCCACTGAGGAGGGAACAAGTGATTTAAACTCTGGGGACCAGTGAGAGACTGGGGGAAGAGGGCTGTCTGAGGAGGGCCTGGGAGAGAAGCAGGATTCCGGGAGTGTGGGCAGTGAGGGGACCCAGGCCTTCCTGTGGGCAATGCAGAGTGATCTGTAGGAGATGCAGGGAGGGGAGGCCTGGGCCTCGTTGGGGGAGCCAGGTGGTTAGTTGGGCCTGATGGGGTCCCGATGGGGTCTGATTTCCAGATGCCCAGCTGCTCCTGGCTCCTCCTGCTGGTTTCCCTGCCCATGGGGGGCATGGCGTTCCTCAACATGTAGCTCCCCAGGCTGCGGGGTGGGTTCCGTGTACCCCTCAGTGCCTGTGGGGCTTATCCTGCCCGGTGGAGGTGCCACGCAGCCGTGGCTGGTGCTTGCCGTCTCCAGGTATTTACTGTGATTCGTGAGAAACTGGTTGCCAGGAGGTGATGTACTGGGGGTCGCCTCCCAAACTCCAGAGAGGGTGGATGCGTTGGCTTCTTGGCCTTTCCCAAACATGCATCCGATTGTGCTGCGAGCTTAAGAATGTTCAAGCCCTGAGGGCTGAGCTAAGAGAGACCAAAGAGATAAAGGGCGTGGATAGGAGTGTGTGTGCATATGTATGTGAGTGTGGGAGTAGGAGCATGTGTACATGTGTGAAGTGTGCGAATGTGGATGTATGGCTGAGAATTGTGCAAGTGTGTGAGTGTGTGTGTATGTATGTGAGTGTGTCTCTGTGTGTGATTTGTGTGTGTCTCTGTATGTGTGTGACTGTGTACATGTGTGTCTGTGATGTGTGTGAGTGTATGAATGTGTCTGTGCATGTGTGAGTGTGTGTCTCTGTGTGTGTGTCTCTCACACACACACATACCTGTTCCTTGGCAGTTTTACTCAGCTCCCAGAAGTTTCAGGCTGATGTTTCTGCCTTGCTCTTTTGTCACTGACTAAAGAGCCAGGGCTTTGGATTTAACCAGATTTGGCTTCAGATCACGCATGTTGCTCTTGGTGTAATTTCTGTAGCCTCATTGCCCTCATTTGTCTTGAATAGATTGAAGAGTGGTGGTACCTCCCTCTCCAGGCTTCTGTCGACATTTTGTGTAAAGTACCAGCACATAGTAGGTGGTCAGGCTATAGTGGCCCCCCCTGCCCCCCCTTCAATTCCATCACATGGTGATGGAGGCTATTCCTGGCATATGATTGAGCCTGGTGCTCCTTCAACAGCATCATTAGCCTGGGTCATAGTCCACTTGGGCCCCTAACCCAGAGGCAACTCATGTCACCTCTCTGGATTGGACAGTTAGCCCCCCTCTCAGTTCCTCAGTTTCTTCATCTGCAAGATGGGAGTGCTCTTCCCACACCGCAGAGTTCTTGTGTGGTCCGGTGAGGTAGCTGCCAGGGGCCACGTGCTGCAGGCTGCCTCCTATGACACTGTGGAGAGCCTAGAAATCGACTTTTCAGTTGAGCCCCCCTTTTGCTCCTTACTCCTCTCTGGTTTTCTGGCGTATGATAGAAATCCATATGGAGGGCCGGCCCCGTGGCTTAGCGGTTAAGTGCGTGCGCTCCGCTGCCGGCGGCCCGGGTTCGGATCCCGGGTGCGCACCGAGGCACCACTCCTCCAGCCATGCTGAGGCTGCGTCCCACATACAGCAACTAGAAGGATGTGCAGCTATGACAGACAACTATGTACTGGGGCTTTGGGGGAAAAAATAAATAAATAAAATCTTTAAAAAAAAAAAAGAAATCCATATGGAGTGTGTCTATGATGATGATTAATCGTCAGACGCACACGTGCCCCGCATGTGTCCACGCACCCATTTGCATGAGGGCACGTCCCTGCTCCGTTCATAAGCTCCCAAATTTCAGTTTTAATAAAAAATGACTTAGATTTAGCAGATCACTTGTGTTTCCTTTATCCACTTTAGGAGACACTGGCCTTGGTTTTCCAAATACCCTTTTTGACCTGGATTCATAATTCTTTAGCCATGCAAAGTAGAGACAGCCTTGCAGGGAAGCAGTCGTGGGTTTTCCTGGGAGGCACAGGGGAGCGCAGCGTGGGGGTGGCCTGGAGGTCCTGGCTCTGGTTCTCGTTGCTCCCAGTTGCTTCCTTAAGCTCTCCAAGCCTGTTCCTCATCTGTCAGAGAGTAATAATAAAAGTGAAAGAGGCTTCTTAAGGTTTTTTAGGAATTCAAGAAAAGAGTGTCTGTGAAAGTGCTTTGTGTCATCAAAGCTGTAAAACACGATGTGCGTGAGTTGTGTTGCTTTTCCCTCGATTGCGTCCATTCATCCGCTGCTCGGCTTTCTGTGCACGTTTGTTTACCTGAAGCTCAAGTGTGACGGGTTGTCCACACCTCTAACGAACCAGAACATCCTGACACAGGATGCTTTCATCAGATGGATTCGATGACTGGTGCAGGGCAGGGGGTGCTGCGCGGGAGAGGTGGGTTTCCCAGTGACTTGTTCTGGAAAGGAACAAAACCTCTCAGGTCTTCGTTGCCTTTTCCATACAAGAAAATCCAAGCCACTGGTCTCTGCGTGTCCCTGCAGACAGGGAGAGGACACGCTAACGTGTATAGAAACCCATTGGGAACACTGCCCTCAGGATGGAGAGAGAACCCATTGGTGAGAGCAGCTGAAATTTAACCCAAAGAAAAGACACTGCTCCCCTAGAAAATGGGCTGGACCTGTGTGGACTGAGTCAACTTTAAAATCAATAAGCCAACCATCAAAATGCCTTTTCTAAGCAGGGTGGGGCTGAGGAAGCTAACACACTGTGTAATATGATGTTTTGTTGTAAATTTCAGAACGTGGGGCTGTGTTGATCAATGAGCTTTGCTTTCTCTTATGAAATTCGGTTAAACTTTTGGTTTGATGCTTTTAGTTTTTCCATCCAAGATTAGTTAATGTAGCTTTTTCTTTCCATTTCAAAGTAAGATTTATTATTGTTTGGTGATTATAAAATAACACATGCTTATTGTAGATATTTTAGAACAAGTGGGAAATTATAAAGAAAAAATAAACATTACCTATAAAAAATAAGAACAGTGGTTGAATGAGAAAGGGCATGAGGGAACTCTCTGGGGAAATGGGAACATTCTAGATCTTTATAGGGGTTTGGTTACTACACAAGCATACACATTTGTCAAAACTTCAGCAAATGCACACTTAAGAGTTGTGCACTTCATTATATGTAAATCTTATATTAAAAGAAAAACTGTATACTGAACTTGGGTTAATGATATGCATGATGAAATGTTTAGGGGAAGTGTACAGATGTCTGCAATTTACTTTGACGTGCGTTAAAAAAGTAAGATGGCTTGATGAAGGGTAGATGGATAGATATGTGACAAAGCAAATATAGCAAAATGTTAATAGTAGAATCCAGATGGTGGATATATATGTGTTCACTATAACATTCTTTCAACTTTACTGTATGTTTGAAAATTTGCATAATAAAATATTGAGGAACAAAGATTACTAATTCAGAAAAAAAATCCATATTTACAATCCAAACGTAACCACCATTAACGTTTTAGTGTATATTATTTTCTTTCATATTCATTTCCAAGAATATATAATTTTATATAATTAAGGTCTTGCTCCTTGTACAAATACATTTTCATATTTTTCACTTAATATTGTATCATAGTCTTCTTTTGTCATAAAAAGTTTTCATTATGTAATTTTTAAATTAAGGTGATGTTTACACATAGTAAAATGCACAGATTTTAGCACACAGTTCCATGAATTTTGACAAATTCGTACAGTCACATAACTAGCACCGCAATCAAGATGTGAAACAGTTCCATCACCCCAGAAAATTTCTCTGTCCCCCTTTATAGCCACCCCTTCACCTCACATCCAGCCCCTGGCAACCACGGATCTGTTTCCAGAATGTCATTAAAGTGGAATCGTATAGGATGTAGCCTTTTGACTCTGGCTTCTTTCATTCAAGCACAACACAACTGAGATTCTTGCATATTGTTGCATGTACTAGTAGTTTGTTCCATTTTATCGATGAGTAGTATTCCATTGTAAGGATGTACATTTTTTTCCCCCCTTTTTCTCCCCAAAGCCCCGGTAGATAGTTGTATGTCATAGCTGCACATCCTTCTAGTTGCTGTATGTGGGACGTGGCCTCAGCATGGCCGGACAAGCGGTGCGTCGGTGCGTGCCTGGGATCCAAACCCGGGCCGCCAGTAGCAGAGCGCGCGCACTTAACCGCTAAGCCATGGGGCCGGCCCTAGGATGTACATTAACGTAATTTTAATGTTTGTAAAAAGGCATTGTATATCATAACGTGTTTTATTTATGCCTTCCCCTATTATTTGGATATTTAAGATGTTTTATTTTTTTTTCACTGTTATAAATACCATCATAGTGAACATCTTTATGTATAAATCATCATCATTGATCCTTTCTTTAAGGTAGATTCCTGGGAAGGGAATTACAACGTTGTATGTTATAAATATTTTTAAAGCTCTTAATACATTTTTAATCATTAGAAAGTTTTTCCTTATATTTCTTTATGTGGTTCATAACAAGCTTGACTTAAAACTCCACTGGTGTTGATAACCCTCTTTTTCCTCCCTCTCTTTTTCGATATCGTCACTGTAGAACTGATTCGAAGTTTCAGTGTAGTCAGTGAGCCTTTGAAATTCTAAATCATGGAGGCCAGTCAGGAAACTTCCCTCTTCTTGGTGAAGATCTTGGAGGAACTGGACAGCAAGCAAAATACCGTCTCCTACCAGGACCTGTGCAAATCACTGTGTGCCCGCTTTGATCTGTCCCAGCTTGCCAAGCTGAGAAGCGTGCTCTTCTACACGGCTTGTCTCGATCCCAATTTTCCAGCCACGTTATTCAAGGACAAGATGAAATGCACCGTGAATAACCAGCAATCAAAGAAAATCATGGTGGCAGCAGATATTGTGACGATATTCAACCTGATCCAAATGAATGGGGGCGCCGCCAGGGAGAAGCTGCCCACTGGCCGGCAGAAGGTGCGCAAGAAGGAGGCATCCTTCGAATCGTGCAGGTCCGACACGGAGATCTGCACCTCGGCCGAGTGTGAGCCCCTGAACTGTGAGCTGAGCGAGAGGCCTTTCAGCCGCGGCTACCCCACCAGACAGTCGTCCAAGTGCCAGAAGATGGACTGCAAGGACTGTCTGCAGTTTGTCCCTGCCTCCGAACCCAACTTCTTGCTGGGCGTCAGCAAAGAGGTGAAAACCCGGGCTGCGTCCCTGGACAGGCTGCAGGCCCTGGCCCCGTACTCGGTCGCCAGCCCTCAGCCCTGTGAGATGCAGCGAACCTACTTCCCCATGAACATTGAGAGCGAGTCCATTTCCGATCAGGACTCCCTGCCGGTCAACCAGGGCCTCAAGGAGACTTTCATTTCTAACGAGGAGCCGTTTGTGGTCCAGTCCTGTGTCCAGAAGAGGAACATCTTCAAAGAGGATTTTCACAATCTGATGGCCGTGTCCCCCAGTTTGGTTGGCCCCGCTAGCAAGGCGGACGGTGAGCATGGGGAACCCCAGAGTCGAAAGGAGCCCCACAAGACGCCCTTCTTTAATCACAGCTTTGAAATGCCCTACAATAGCCAGTACCTGAATCCCGTGTATTCCCCTGTTCCTGACAAAAGGCGGGCAAAGCATGAAAGCTTGGATGACCTTCAAGCTTCCACGTATTTTGGACCCACTCCAGTGATGGGGACCCAGGAAGCCAGGCGCTGTCCAGGGAGGCCAGGCAAGCAGACCCCCTGGCCAGCCAAAAGCTGGAGCCTAAACACCGAAGAAGTCCCTGACTTTGAACGGTCCTTTTTCAATAGAAATCCCTCTGAGGAGAAGCTACGCTATCCAAATTCCAGCAGCCAGACCCCCAATTTCCCAGGCCCAGATAGGCGCCCGGCTTACCTCACGCCAAAGGATCAACAGCCAATTCTCCCTGTTGGCTACGCAGCAAAACCAAATGGGCTCAAATCTAAAGAGGTTTCATCCCCCATTGACCTGGAGAAGCACGAACCAGTCAAAAAGTTTAAAGACAAGAGCATTAGCTGCACCAGCGGGCAGCTCAGCTCAGACACCAGTAGCGTGGGCACCCAGACTGAGCAGCATGTGCTGGATCCCAAGAAATGCAAAGACTTGTGCACCTCGGGGCAGGGCAAGTACAGTGACAGGCACGCCATGAAGCAGTCGGACGATGACTCGGAAATTGTCAGCGATGACATCAGTGATATTTTCCGATTTCTTGATGACATGAGTATCAGTGGCTCGACGGGAGTGATACAGTCGTCCTGCTACAACAGCACAGGGTCCTTGTCTCAGCTTCACAAGTCGGACTGTGACAGTTCACCGGAGCACAACCTAACCAAAATTGCCAATGGACTCCCCATCAGCAAAGGAGAAAAGGGCAACCGGCCTGAAAACAGCCACCACTCCGAGGAGGAGTTGAAGACCAGTGTGTGCAAACTGGTGCTCAGGATCGGCGAAATTGAACGGAAGCTCGAATCACTGTCGGGTGTCCGCGAGGAAATCTCCCAGGTCTTGGGCAAACTAAATAAATTAGATCAGAAAATGCAGCAGCCTGAGAAGGTGAGTGTGCAGATAGATCTGAATTCCTTGACGAGCGAGGCTCCGTCCGATGAGAGTGCCTCTCCCCGGATGTTCCGTGCACACAATGGCTCCCACGGACCTAAACTGGAGAATACCGCCGACTGGTGCTGCTCTGACGCCAGTGGAAGCAACAGTGAAAGCCTTCGTGTCAAGGCCTTAAAAAAAAGCCTCTTCACCAGACCATCGTCTAGGTCCCTGACGGAGGAGAACAGTGCCACAGAGTCCAAAATCGCCAGCATCTCCAACTCGCCCAGGGACTGGCGCACCATCACGTACACCAGCCGTGTGGGCCTCAGTGAGGAAGAGATGAAAGACAGAGGCCCTGGAGAGAATAAGGACTGGCATCGAAAATCGAAAGAGGTAACTGAAATTTAAGCTCGCATAATTGGGCACAACCTTGATCATGGCCCTGGTGTATTCCCAAGCCTTGAACATTACGTTAAACAAGATGGAGGCCTTCCCTCCGTGTGCTAGTTGTCCTTCCAGATTTGGCAGGCCTTTCACCTCAGAACAGAGAGGACAGCAGAGGCAGGTTGTTTGTTCCAGCAAGTTGTCAGTCAGCTAGGAGGAGCCTGCGCTGCCATGTTGCCGAGAGGAGAAAGCGCAGTTCAGATATTGGACGGGTGTGGGACACCAGATTTTCATGGAAGGGGGAATGTGTCAGAGCAGGCGAGCACCACCATGATGCCTTCCTGTCCTTTCTGAAACAACAGGATGCAGGCAAAGAAAACGAGGGAAATGACTTAAAAGCAGGCTAACTCATATGTCCTTTTCATGTACTTTATTGCATGCGTGGTGTTGTTTTAAAAGTTTGAGTTTTTTCATTATAAGATCAATAGATGATTAGTAAGCAAAAATAAATAAGGAAATTATTCATTGTTCCACCACCCAGGGATAGCAACTCTTAATATAGTGTCTTTCTTTGCTTTTTAGACGTTTTTCCCCTACATGGTTGTATGTTCTGTTCTTTTCGTGGGAGCTTGCGTGTCTGGCGTCTTTACAGCCAACATCTCCCAAGTCGGTTCTGGAGTGAGTGCATACACATATACTTGGACTCGTTCTTTTTCCCGTCCTCTGCAGTAAGGATGATTTGTTTTGGTGGAACTTGTGGCTACTCTTCTTCATTCTAATGGGTTATAGTGAACTCTTTCTGGCCGAAGTGATGCAATTTCAATTTGTTGCTTGTTTCAGTTTCCTTCCTTGATTCTAAAGGTCAGTGGACAGACCACGAGGCCTCCTGAGGTCTCAGAGGACCCAGCCATTAGAGAGAGGGAGTGAAGATGGTGTGGGCTGCAGACACTCAAAGCCAGAGCAAGAGGCTGGATTCCTCAGATCGTGCCAAGAAGGAAAAGCTTGGAAGACTGGGCTCTAAGACAGTTTTCAGGGTCAAAGTAGGGGAAAAGAGTAAATAAAAGAAGTGATTTTTTTCTGATCCCAAAGAACCCTCTGGTAACTGTGCCAGCCACTGCTCTGTCCTTCTGTTGTCACTTACAACATGTGGTGTTGGAGAGAAGCCGGAGTATAACACGTGCCACTACTCCAACGAGATGCCCAGCTGTTGTTTCTCTCCTCTGGGCCCATTGTCATGTCTCTGCCAGGGTCTGCCAGGGTCTAGCCAGGTTTCTGGAGCCCTGGGTCTTAGATGGCATTGAGAAGTAGTCATTTAGAGGACCCAAATTATTAGGTGCTTCTATAGAAATATAAAGTTAAACTGAACTAGCCATGTTTCCAATCTGTAAAATGTCAAAGCCTTGTGAAACCAACAGGAGTAGCTGAAAGCTTGAGAAAGATCTGCTTGACATGCACAGTGCAAAGTTGCTAATATTTGGGATGAGCTGTGTTCTTCATTTTGTTGCTTTCTCTGACCCGATTTCTCCCTCCTGGTTTGTGGCTGTCACCACCTCTGGGCTGGCGCTTCCCATAGTGATGACCAGCCCTGGCCCACCTTCTGAACTTCAGTCCCATATCTCAACCTGCTCCAGGCTGGTTCCTCTGGATGTCTACCCAAGTGTCAAAATCTACAGGTCCTGACTAGACTTTTCTATTCCTTCAAAGCCAGCGTGCCCTCTCACTGTGTCCATTCTGGTGTCACCATTCTAGCAATTCCCCAAACTGAGGAGGCCTCCCTGATCTTTGACTTTCCTTGTGGGCTTTCTCATATCCAGTTTAGCCACTAGACCCTGTGGGTTTATCTGGAGTGATGTTTCTTGTATCTCTGCCTCCCTTTCCATTTAAATCCACCTTCCGTCCCCCCAGTCCAGGCTCTTACCACATCCCACCTGAGAGTTTTGGGCACATTTATAACTGGTCTCTTTCACTTGTCTTCTGCACCTTCCATCTTGTCTCATAGACTGCTGCTGCGTTCACCATCCTAAAACTTTACTTTGTGGGTGTGCAGTGCCTCCTATTTGCAACTGTTCCTTGGATCCCCTTTGCTCAGTGAAAAATTTCAAACTTCTCAGCCAGGCCTTTAAAGCCTGGGAATTTCACGTACTTCTCCCCAGCAGGAAGGCTCTAGTTTGCCCAGACTGGGCCCTCTCTACCTTGACGAGTCTACTTGTTTTTCCTCAAAAATGCCATGCTCATTCATTCAGTCACTCATTCAGTTAATACTCATTGAGCATCTGTGATGGCCAGGCCCCATTCCACTGTCAAACCTTTCTTCACACGATTCCTCCATCAAGAATGTCTTGTCCACTTACTCTGTGCTGATCTAGATCCTGTGTTCCCCTCAAGGCCTCTGAATTCATAAACTTCTGAAAGCTTTCCAAGGGATTATTGCTGATCTCTGATCTCTGGCCTTTAGTCCTCTTTGTTCAGACATAGTAGATACAAACTTTTATTTTAAAAATATATTACTGGGACAGGCCCGGTGGCATAGCGGTTAAGTTTACACGCTCAGCTTCGGCGGCCTGGAGTTCTCAGGTTTGGATGCTGGACGTGGACCTGCTCACCGCTCATCAAGCCATGCTGAGGCGGTGTCCCACATAGAAGAGCTACAACTCTACAACTATGATACACAACTATGTACTGGGGCTTTGGGGAGAAAAAAGAAAAAGAGGAAGATCGGCAACAGATGTTAGCGCGGGGCCAATCTTCCTCAAATAAATAAATAAATAAAATATTAAAAAAATATATATTATGTATATATACTGACTGCCAAGTTAGAATGTAATGGTAGCAGCAGGGAGGCAGGCATGAGCAGCAGTTAAACTTTCTGTCTTTAAGAACAGGTTCAAATCCTGGTTGTACCACTTACTGGCTGTGCACCACTGGGTCAGTCTCTCAACCTCTCTGACCTGGGTTTCCAGATCCATAGTGGGGATAATAATAGTTACAACCCTGGAATGTGCTTGAGAAGATGAAATGAGATAACGCACGTGTGGCACTGAGCATAGCGGTGGACACACAGTCAGCCCTCAATTGATTGTAATTATGACTGCAGTGGCTGCTGTTGCCATTGTTGTTGCCATCTGCCCGCTTCCCCCGCTCAGTGCGGGCCCAGCTTACAGTGGGAGCTCTATGAGTGTTGAGTAGCCATGATGAACAGAGTAGATAAATCAGTGAAGCCTCTTAGAAGATACTTGGCTTTGATGAGTTAAAAAGTAAGAGGGAACCTCATTTCCTTGTTTGGCAAAGTTTATCCTGCTTCCTCTGTGTCAGTGCCAGCTTGGTGGTTTGGAAGCACTAAATATTGTGCTATGTTTGGGTAAGAGGTTTCCCGATAGGTGGGCATGTGCTTCTGGTCCAGTCCACGTGTGGGATACACACACTCACACTCACATCTCATTTGCTCATCACGTGCTGACACGTAAACTCTCCCTCTCGTGACACCCACCTCCTTCCCTTACTCGTCAACACTCACCTCCACGCACATCCTGTCTTTCCTTTTCCTCTTTCTGTGACTCACATCCACAGCTCTCTGTGCTCTCTGTTTCATATGCATGACTTCATGTCATTGATATCCATCCCTTTGACAAATATGGATGGAGTGCCTTCTACTTGGTGGTAGATTTTGCTGGAATCAGGGATTAAAAGGGAACAGGACAGTGCCCTGCCCTCAAGGAGCTCACAGTCCAGTAGAGGAGACAGACAGGCAAACAGGCAGTCACAGGTCAGTGGGACAACACTGGCAGAGGGGTCTGCATGCAGTCCTCAGGAGTCACATAGACGGGCGCTGACCCAGCCTTGGTGGGTCAAGGAGTGCTTTTTGGAGGAAGTGACATCTATATGGAGATCTGAGAGCCTAAACTTAGAAAGTGTCGTAAGGCCCCAGTTATAACAGGGTTCACTGAGAGTAGAGCCCCCTGGTATGAAACTCAAAGACTGAGAACATAAGTGGTGTCCAGCTGTTTTGGGCCCCTTCCTACCTCCACACTGGTGCCCAGACTGTTCCCTTATCTTGAATGCCATACAGATATCTCTGAAAATCACTAGGGGCTCCCAACATGTGCTTTCTGGCTTGGCTTCTTCCTTCCAGAGAAGCAGCATGACATCAGTGGTTTCAGCAAGCTCCTTGAGAGAAGGACCCATACCTTTTACTCCTCGGTACCAGGTACAAATTGATAAAAGAAAGAGATGGCAGTAATATGCAGTGATTAAGCAAAGATTCTCTGAAGCCAAATGATCAGGTTTAAATCCCAGCTCCACCCTTTAGCAGCTGTGCACCCTGGGTTAAGTTACTGAGTCTTTCTGGGCTCCATTTCCTTACTTGCACAATGAGGAGTCATAATAATACTGATGATATGAGGATTAGATAAAATAATCTCTTCCTGGCACAGAAGTGGTAGCTCATATTCGTACTATTATCATCATAGGCTGTTCTTAGAGAATTCCCCCAGTACTGGTCTACTTTCTATTTGTCCGTAAATAACTGCATTTTTGCTAACTGGGTGTCTACAGAGCCTAGTGATGTCAAGCTCGTGGGCCCAATGCACTGTGAAATCCGATGGCATCTATGCTGCTTTTCTGGACTTCTCTGTGCCCCTCTGCAGGCAGACAGGCAGTACGACATCCCCCCGCAGCACCGACTGCCCAAGCAGCCCAAAGACGGCTTCCTGGTGGAGCAGGTGTTCAGCCCTCACCCCTATCCCACCTCCCTCAAGGCCCACATGAAGAACAACCCCCTGTACACGGACATGCGGCTGACCGAGCTGGCCGAGGTGAAGCGGGGCCAGCCTTCTTGGACCATTGAGGAGTATGCGCGGAACGCGGGTGACAAGGGCAAGCTGACAGCCCTGGACCTGCAGGTGAGCCTCTCACTGCTCCCGGCAGGGGGAGCCCAGCCACGCCCTGGCAGATGCAAGAATGATCGCGGGTGGCTTAGACCAGCCTGCTCCCTCAACCTCAGCTTCCTGGGTCCCCACCATGGAATTCTGAACTTTAATAAATCATAGAGCAGAGATTTTTAACAAGGGGATTGCTGTTTTGCTTATTTGTAAACATCTAGCGGTGGGAATGCTTGATGGACTGATTCCCCTTGGCCATCCTATTTGCTAACGATGCATTTAAGACTCCATACCAAGTGCAGATTCTCACATTTGCTCACAAGACCTGGGCCAAACTGTTTAATGAAATACAAGCTGATCTCTCCTTCCATGTGTAGCACGTGGGATAAGCATATTTGTGGGAGCCAAGCTATGGATTATGTTTCCATATGGAGCAGTCCCAGGTAAGAGCCATCCTCGGCAGCTCTGTGAATGCAGTTGTGGCTGGAGGGCGTGTTTTTGTTCACCCACAGGCAGGGCTGGGTTGTGGTCACACTTTTATTTTGGTGGGCAGCTCCACCTGGTTCCATTCACACCACGTCTATTTGTCTCCACATCACCATGGGAGCACAGGAAGCACCCTGTCCCCATCTGTGGGTTTAGCTTTGTGGGCCGTGAGGTCATAGTCCCATAGTGCTGGTCACGTACAGGTCCCAGAATGACCCCGCCACTCAAAGGTCAGTTGGAGAGATGCCAGTGGGGGTTGGTATGGCAAGGCCCCCCTGAAATGGCCTCCCTCTAAGGCAGAGAGGGCTGTGGGAGGTGCAGTGTGTTGGAGAAAAAGGAACTTGGAATTCCAGCAGTGCTGGGTTCGAATCCAGGGCTGGCCCATTTGCTGCATGATCTGGGACATTCACTTCACTTCCTTGAGCTTCGGTTCCCTCACCTGTTAAAAGGGCATAATAATATCTAACTTGTGGAGTCGTTGTGAGAAATGAAAATAATGTATTTAAAGTACTTGGCATTAAGTAGGCACTGAAAAGGCAGTTAGGGGCTGATTAAGTGATGCTGAAATCAGTCAGCTCAGCACGGTGCTTTTCACAGCAGGCTCTCAGGGCACGATGGGGCAGCCTTGAGGCAGGAAGTGCTAAGGCCATCTCTGGTTTACCAATGAGGAAATCGAGACCCCGAGAAGCTCAGTAACTTGCCCCAGGTCAGACAAGTCTAAATTCATACTGGACTAACGGGCAATAAGTCTCATGTCCTTTCTCTTCTGTTGCCTCTCCACCTTTTCATTTCTCTGTTGATGAGTGTAGTGGAGCTTCATGTCACAAACATGACGGCAATGACATTTGTTTATATTGGACCCTAAATGACAGCAGTTATGGGAAGGGGCAGCTCTGGCCAGATCCTGAGAGTGAGGTTTGTGGCGGCAGCAGGACCATCCCCGAGAGAGTCCTCGCACCTCTTCCCTCCAGCATGTTACGTCCCTGTGTGTGCTGCATGCCACCTGTCCCTTTAGGCCACTTCCTCTCCTGTTACTGCCCTGTTGGCAAGCAGGCTGGGCAAGGATTTGATTCTTCTGCAAGTGGGGCCCCCTGCAGCTGTGCCACCGGTGTCACACCACTATCCATGGGTATTAGGATACCACGAGCAGCAAGCGAGTCAGAAAGGACCCGGAGGTGTGAACAGCTCAACTAGTGGGATAATCAATATTTCACCAGTATCATGGGATGAACTTGAAAGGGTCAGATTAATTGAATGAGTCATAGATTGAGAAACATCTTTTTAAAGTTTGAGAGGAGGGTCTCGGAGATTTTGTCCCTACAGATACATGCAATTTTAATGTGCCAATGTTTATAGGCATAAAGACAAAATTATGAAAAATAAAAGCAGATCTTTGGATTAGAGAGCTTTAGGTGACATCCCTTACAAATGCAAAGGACAGTTTATCCAGTGGCACAAAATGGGAGGGAGCAGAGAGTTCAATAGCCTTGCGAGGGGTTTTGCAGCAAAGCGAACTGGGCCTCAGGAGCTTGCTAAAGGCAGAGGCACCACCCTGTTAGTTTTGATCGCTTTGCAGAGACTCAGGTACTGTCTTAGGGCAGCTTCAGCCTCTGAACAATCTTCTTGGGGTCCCTTGGTGTCAAGAGGTAGATTCGCCATCGATGGTGGCCACTTGAGGGTGTAGGCAGAGGTGCAAACCCTATTTCTGTTTCCAATGTTGGGCAGGCCTAATTGACAACTGAGAACACTCACCTGTGTCCCTTGAAACCTTGATATTACCTCTCTGCTACTTGGTATCATTAGAGCTTGCAGTTATGGAAAAAACTAATTAAAAATAGTTTATTTCACAGGCTGAATCGCAGCCCATGAAGTATATGTACTTATGAAAGGAAGCCAATTTCCCTCTGTCTGAGCTGGAGGGGAGAAGAGAAAATCTGATGTGTCATTTACACACTGTTTACCTCCTGGGCCAGCCATGGGAAGATTCAGAAGAGGAGGTGGTTGTTTCAACCTCCATAGCCACAGCCTGTCTTCAAGGTTCCAGGGCAGGGAGGGCTGGTACTTCAGCCTTCTGCCTGAACCCAACTCACTGCTGCATACCAGTCCCCCAACAAAATATGCCCATTTGGATCCATCTCTCCCTTCTAGAGTGCCCTTTAAATTGCTGAAGGGCTTTCATGCCTATGGGAGCAGACTGATCCCAAGTGCCCATGGAGGGCAGAGTTTTGAGGAAGAGGAGGGTACAGCTCAAGCATGAGGACACGCGTTCTAACAGCCAGAGCTGGGCGGTAGCAGAACTGCTGTGGGCAGCTCAGGGAGACTGTGGGTCCCGGGACTCAGCAGAGGATGTTATAGTAGGAGTTTCTTGCAAAGGCTGTAGGGTTGGACAGAGCACCCTGCATTTCCAAGGCCTTTTCTGTTATTGAGAGTGTCCTTTTTCTCATGATGGGCATCCTAGATGGCCAGTACTGCCTCTGCCCCTCCAGATAACACGAAAAATTTGACAGTAGTCTTTAAACATTATGCCTCAGTGAGGAAGGGGACCTGAGAGAATTTTCAGCGATCTCCTAAGTCCCATACACTTTTCATTATGCAATGTTGTATAGAATGTACTTGAACGGGGTTGGCAAACTCTTTCTGTAAAGGGCTGGATAGTAACTACTTTAGGCCTTGCAGGCCTTACAGTCTCTGTCACAACTGCTCAACTCTGCTGTTGTCAACAGCAGCCACCAACAATTTGTAAATGACTGAGTGTGGCTATGTTCCAATAAAATGTTATTTTTGGTCACTGAGATTTGAATTTCATATAATTGTCACATATTGCGAACTATTACTCGTCTTTGATTTTTTTCAACCATTTAAAAATGTAGAAACAATTCTTAACTTGTAGGCTGTAAAAGGCACATGTTGTGCTGGATTTGGCCCACGGGCCGTAGTCTGCAGACCCCTGTTCTAGAAGACCATTAGTAACAGGAGAGCATTAAAGCAGCCAGAGGAGTTCACGGCCCCTGGGTGGTCAGTGAGCGCCCCAACAGGAAGCAGACGGCACAGTCAGAGAGTGTTACCGTGATGTGGGCAGGGTCTAGAGCCTCGAACAGGGAGAGGCTGCTGCCACCCTTGGATGTGAAGGCCAAGGGAAAGGAGCTGTTTCTGAAACCCACCAAGACCCCCAGGACTGGGAGCAGGTGCTTGATAGAAACTAAACCTCTGCCGAACTGCAGCCCAGCAGGGAGGAAGCCGGGGGAGTAAACACCCCATCCCACTGACTGAACCCACCTGGGAGCCCCATAGATGTGTTTCTACAGGCCAGTCTCCTGGGATCACAGAGCAAGGCGGAAAAGAGCAGAGAATGAGTCTAGAAGGACAGGTGGAGGATGACTAGCATGGGTTAGAATCATCAACATTCCACCAATAACATGGTACGATTGAGTTTCGTTAAGTTTGTGGAGGGTTTGTTTTGTAATCCTGTGTGTGTGTGTGTGTATGTGATTTTTAATGTGCCTGTGTTTATGAGCATTAAGTAATCTGAGAAAATCTTCAAAATGGATATTTTGTTTGTGTTTCAAAGATTTAGGTGACCTCACTTGGAATTGCAATGTGTTGTTGCTTTTATGTGACACTTACATTATTAAATGCTTGCCATAAAGTGAGAACACTGCCTTTCTTTATGGAAATAGATTATAACCATCAATGGGGAATGGGATTCATGAGCAATGCAGGTTAAATATGATATTTCTCCTGCAGACAGTTCATTAATCTCAGGGAGACCGGGAGACAAATGTTGGTGGGGGCTCTTCCGTTGGGGACGCTGCACCTGGCATGGGGACGGTCTGCCACCGGTCTGTAGACCCTGACTTTGAGCAGTGGCCTGACCTGCTCAGACAAATGTTTGAAATTGAAATATTTTACGTTTTGTTTGAACTGCTTATCTGAGAGATGCCTTTGATTTTTCAGTAGAAGCTTTCCCAAGGAACTGGGAACTGAATCAGAATGATACAATAGTCTTGCTTCAAACGGCTCTGTTCTTCGGGACTGTTAGTGGAGAATATTTTTCAGACTTTCCCTGCTTCCCCTACGGCAGGCCCAGCCTGTTCTTGGTTGTATGCCCTTAAAGTTTAAAGTCTTGTTTGTCTCTGCCCTATTTTGCTTGCTCATAAATGGAGGAGTCATGGGGTTCCCTGTGTGAAAAACATGATGACATTTGCAGTAAGGGAGGGCAGGTGCAATCTCTGATGTGTGGGAGCCGGAGTCCTTGGTAGCCGGTCTCAGGCCAGGGCTGGTGGGCAGTGGTGGATGCCTCGGTCATCTCTAACCGCCAGCTGCAGACAATTCTTAGGTGCTTCAGGAGTGACGATTGTCAGAACATCTTGGACCTGGTTGCAAGTATTCGGTATATTTCTAACGTCTTCTCTTCACTTTTAGACGCAAGAATCTTTAAACCCAAACAACTTAGAATATTGGATGGAAGATATTTATACGCCAGGCTACGACTCATTGCTAAAACGTAAAGAAGCCGAGTTCAGACGAGCCAAGGTCTGCAAGATAGCTGCTCTGATCGCTGCTGCCGCGTGCACGGTCATCCTTGTCATCGTTGTGCCCATCTGCACGATGAAATCCTGAGCCGTGGGGGCGACGTTGCATACAGCTTGTGACTAGCAATGTCTTCCTCCATAGTTTAAAACTGCAGCAGTGTGGCAACAGTTGGCTGAAATAGAGATGAAATCATGGAGGCTTTTCTGCCAATGCTGAAGATGGTCTTCAGAAAGTATGCATTCTAGAAAGAAATCTACCTACCTATTAGCTTTGACTTAATTACATTCGGATGCATTTTTAGAAGTGCAATATCTTTTCTTACCAAAAGAATGTAATGGACTACCAGTAGATACAAATTGAATTCCAAGCAAAAAGAAAGAAAGAAACAAACAAAAAATGCAGGAAAATTAACTGTATTCTTTCCATTTTGATGAAGTTTCATGGCGGGGAATATGTCATACAGAAGATATTTAATACGTGCCTCTTTTGGGGGAAGCTAAGGGAGGTAGCAAAATGAGAAGGAAAAAGGAGAGGTTCTATTTTCCTTAATGTTCTTAGACTGTTGCAGGTGAATAATAGGTATGTATCCATAAAGGATGTTACTTCTCTGCTGACTTTTATCAAGGGCTACCGACTTGTCATTCTTGCCCTTCTGTCATCATTACGATCTTCATTGCAGATCTTCATGGACGCATTCTGGACCTTCTTCCTTGCGCCTAGGGTAGGAAGGAGCTGAACTGCCAAAGCAGGCATGGCATGAAGTGTGCTCTCTCTGCTGAATAGGCCAAGGTATTCCGGCCAGGAGACCTTCCTGTGTCCACCCCAAGATGTGGGAGAGCTGCTTGCTAATGGTGTAAGGTCAATATCTAAAAATCACGGCCGCCCCAAAGGATCTCCCGTTCTTGCTTTGGTGTGTGGCTTCACTCCTTGAGCTTCTATCTCCTGGTGGTACTGGCTGCTCTGCTTCTCACACATGAGTTGAAGAGTTTGGAACTTGTCCTTGTGCCTTGAAGAGCAGAGACAATGGCTAAACTTTGACATTCTAACCGTTAACCATGGTTTCTGTGCACCCCTGATATCAGCCATCTCCAATGGCTTTAAAAACATTTTGAAAGCTTGTCAATAATAGGATAAAGGCACTGAGGTGTTCTCAGCTACTCTAACACCTACTCCAGAGTTTTGAATACTTGTCAGCAGTGCAAAAAATATTATCTATTTAACCATTTATCTATCTATCTATCTATCTATCTATCTATCTATCTATCTATTTATCTATATGTCTATCTAAATACCTGATTTTGGTTTATTGTCTTGTCTGTTAAATAACTTGAGAGTAAGGTTTCTCCAGTGTACAAGAAGCCGTTGTAATTTCATTAGAATTTGATCTCAGTTTCCACCTGTTGAATGGTGCTTTGACATAATTGTACAGAAAGAATCCTTTTCAGCATTTGATTCTAATGTCTTGTTACACGTTAAAGAAAAATGATTGACAGAAACTAGCTACCTTAATTCTTCTGAGAACAAGGTGGGATATAAATAAATGTTGGTAGTAAGAAGAATCACTCTGAGTGATATACTAAATTCCTGAAAGAGAGGTTTGGGAAGCATCTCAGATTTTAAAGCAATAGGAGTCCAGCATCCATCCTAAACACTTCCAAATAGTGCTTAGCTTGCCGTGTCTAATTCTATTGTTCACCATAAGGGGTAGTCAGAACATTTCATGCTGTGAACAAATAAACGATGGATGCTTCCATCTGTAGTGAACTCTTATTTTTAGAGGTCTTCATGTTATCTGTTTCTATTCTCATGTTTATGTATGGATTTTCAACTAGGTGACTGAAACTTCAGCCTTAGTAAGGAAAACTGAGGATTTATCATTGAAAATGAAAAAAAAAATATATATATATATTACCATCTATTGTCAGAATTTTAGTCTTTTGGTGCTCTGTTTTGAGTGTGGGCACATTCAATAAGGTTGTTTCTCTCACCCCAAAGGGATACTTGATTACCTTAATCTTGCCATCCCAACTCTCCTCCTAACCAGTATGGCTCTTATAACACATCCTAGTCCCACCACTCTCCCCTTTATTACAGATTAAGCCATGAGAATATCAGAGATAGGTAGTTCTCAATCTCTTGCTCTATGATTTGCAGAGAAGTGGAGAGGCACTTACCCAGGATAAGAAAAATCTTGTCAAATCCCAACCAGACTCCTCCGTTTGCCAGGTAGGATGATGGGGGATGTACCAAATCACTATTGCCACTGCCCTTGGGTGACTCTATTCCTAATGGGCTCTTTTTGGGCCATGTGCCTAGCTACCCAGGGAGGGCGTGACTGTAAGCACCCCCCACCCCCCGCCTCCCCACGTGGAAGTGAAGGGACTCTGTAGAATTTTCTTCTACTGTTTTCATAACTGGGGAGGTAGTCAGAGAAATTTATTCTTGCTCTAAGTCCAGTGTAGCTTTAAAATTCAACTCAACATCATTGCCACCTAATGGAAACATCCAGACCTGGTAATACCCCTGAGAAACCAGACAGTGATGGCTCAAAGGCAAGTAGTTTCCTCTGGAAAGGGGTCATCCTCAGTCTGATAGTTCTGAGTCTGGTGTCCAGTTAAGGACCTTTGCCACAGCTTGAAGCTGATGGATGCTTGGGGTCTTGGGATCTAGAGAAAGTGAAGTTCATGGTTGGGCCCTTTCTCTCCATTCACCCCAAGCTCGTTACAGCCTTCTTTCCCTGGACCCCAGGCGCACTTTAGCTCCTCCATCCTTTTATTTGCAGAACGGGGCAAGGCCAGAGTCTAGCTGGGAAGGAGACATCTGCTCATCCCTCTAAAATTGACCTCTCATCTCCTGCTGCTATGAGGTCCCTGCAGGTGACATATGGACTGGCCTATCTTCTGTACTGGGTGCCATCTTCTATCATACTCTCTGGCATTTCCACATAAATGTGCCTGAGCCTAAAATCACTACACTATGAAAATTCACTTCATTTCTCTTGCATTTAAAAAATGAACAATCAGATGTTATTTAAGGTTTTATTTTGAAATCAGATATCGTTAGCCAATGATTAAATGCAGCATCACTTCATGCTCTTTTCTAGTCTGAATTTGCTTTGAACACAGCCTTGCAGAAAAGCAAAAAAATTTCCCAGCTCTCAATTTTCAGATATTTTACACTAGTACTCTCTTCTTTAAACTGCAAATGTATTTGTAAAGCAAATCATACTTATATCACCCATTACTAGCTGATCATAAATTGTTAGTACTTTAGGGCATGCGGCTATGTGATTGATATCTGCAAGGCTAGTTTAATAGATGTGCTAAAATTCACTGTTCTGAATGTGCCATAAGTTCTGATACCCTTATTGGAATCAAGGCAGTGCCGTTTTTGTTTACCGTTTATCAATGTAAGAGCAATGGCATCTCATTTTTTTTTTTTAACAAAAAAAGCTCTGCCAACAGTAAACGATTCCGTTAAGTGGTATAAAAATTTGTGAATGTTGAAATTCAACATGCTTCATATTATAACCAACCTGCAAGAAAATTGTGGTCAGTTGTGTGAATACCAAATCAGTATATACTGTATATTGTACTACGGAAATTTGTATTTAAGGCAAAGATATTAGTAATTGTTGGTATAACTGGGGAAAAGGGTATTAGATATTTATTAATGAAGTAACAATGAGAAATGCAACAAACTTCCTTATTTATGCCTTATGAATAAAAGGGTGTGAAATGTAAAGTGAAGTTTTACGCGGGAGACTCTAAAGGAACGGAGATCCTAGAAGGCAGGGACTTGTCTTTTCTATGTTTGTCTGTACAGCTCTCAGCACACTCTTGGTGCTTGATCAATGTTATATAATACCAATAACTAAGCACATTTTTAGATCTTTTTTCAAATGGCTTGTGTAAAATTTGGTTAACGTACAATGGTTGGTTTGAAGCTATCATGTAAAATCTGCCTCTCCAAGTATAATCGAAAATAAACTGAAAAATTATAAGCTATCTTGCAGTGGGATTTTATTCTATGCATAAATTGTAAGTGTTCAGTTTTATGTACAAATCATAAGTGTCCAGCTTGATGATTTTTCATGAATTGAACACATCCATGTAACAGCACCCAGATCAAAACCAGAACATGCGAGCACTCTGGAAGGCTCCCTTATGCCCCCTTCTAGTTGAAACCTTGCAAAGAAAAATGACTATCCTAACTTGTAAGGGCACATATTAGTTTTGCCTGTTTTAAGCTTTATGTAAATGCATTCCTGCAGTAGGTACTCTTTCGTGTCTTTCTTCTACCGATCAACATGGTGTTGTGCAAACATCCATGTTGTTGTGTGTGGTTGTTTTCTCGTTCGCTTTGCACTGATTGTGAATATAACATAATTTATTTATCCATTCTACTGTTGATGGACATTTGGTTAGCTTCCAGTTTGGTGCTATGCATATTCTTGTATGTGTCTTTTGGTGAATATGTGTGGGCATTTCTGTAATAGGTACACCTGGGAGTAAAACTGCTGAATCATGAGATATGCTTTAGTAGATGCAGCCAAAAAGTATTCCAACATAGTTCTACCAATTTGCACTCCCATCAGCAGTATATCTGGGAGTTCCAGTTGCTCTACGTCCTACTCAACAATTGGTATCATCTGTCTCTCATTTTAGCCGATCTTCTGCGTGTGTAGTGGTACCTCATTGTGCATTTAATTTGCATTTTCCTGATGACTAATAAGACTTACTACCGTTTTGTATGTTTATTGGCCATCTGAATCTCCTATTTTGTGAAGTGTCTGTTCATGTTTTTGCCAGTTTTCTATTAGGTTGTTTGTCTTTTTCTTATTAATTTTTAGAAATTCTGTATATATTCTGGAAATGAGTTATTACTCAGCTATACATTACAAATACTACTTTCCATTCTGTGAGCTGCATTTTTTACTCTCTTAATGGTGCCTTTTTGAACAATGGAAGTTCTTTATTTTAATATAGAAATGTATCATTTTCTTCCATTATAATTGGCAATTTGAGTCCTGTTTAAGAAATCTTTACAGGCTCCAAGGTCATGAAGATGCTCTATGTTTTCTTCCAGAAGCTTTATTGTTTTACTTTTCGTAGTTAGATCTGTACTCTTTCTGGGATTGATAATTATACCTGGTGTAAGGTAGAGGGTTAAGGTATGTTTTTTCCCA